GGGTGGGAGGGATGAAAGGAGGGAGAGGAAGAAGAGAGGGAAGGAAGAAAAGAAGGAAGGGGGAAGGGGGAAGAAGGAAGGAAAGAGAGAGGGAAGGAAGGAAGGAAAGATGGATGAAAGGAAGCAAGGAAGGAAGGAAGGAGAAAAAAGCCTTGGTGGCGCAGTGGTTAGAGTGCAGTACTGCAGGAGGGAGAGGAAGGAGAGAGGGAAGGAAAGAAGGAAGAAAAGAAGCAAAGAAGGGAGAGGGAGGGAGGGAGGAGGGAAGGAGGAAGAGAAGGGAGAAAGGAAGGAGAGAGGGAAGGAAAGAAGGAAGGAAAGAAAGGATGGTGGTGGGAAGAAGGAAGGAAGGAAAGATGGATGGATGGATGCAAGGAAGGGAGGGAGGAAGGAAGGAAGGAAGGAAGGAAGGAAGGAAGGAAGGAAGGAAGGAAGGAAGGAAGGAAGGAAGGAAGGAGAAAAGTGGCACAGTGGTTAGAGTGCAGTACTGCAGGCTACTTCTGCTGATTGTTGGCTGCCTGCAGTTTGGCAGTTCAAATCCCACCAGGCTCAAGGTTGACTCAGCCTTCCGTCCTTCCGAGGTAAAATGAGGACCCAGATTGTTGGGTGGCAAAAGGCTGACTCTGTAAAACACTTGGAGAGGGCTGTCAAAGCGCTGTCAAGCGGTATATAAGTCTAAGCGCTAGTGCTAGAAAAGGAAAGGAGCGAAAGAAGGCAGAAGGACTTACAAGGCTGAGAATGGGAAAACCACCGGGTTGCTAAGCACCCCCCACCTCCTCCCTCCTCAAAGGCTCATACCTAGTTCGGCCATCCATCCGACCACCATCTTCACGAACGTCGCCATCACGTTCCCGCCATTAAGCGAAGCAGCCACGGCCAGGTAGCGGTTGTCGAAATACGGGAAATATTGGACAGGGGAATTTGAATCGGGTGACTCCTGAGGCTGGAACTCGGGGGGGCATGGCGACGGCCAACTGGGCAGACGTGCCGATGTTGAGAACTGGACCGGCGGAAGGTGGGGAGGGGAGAGAGAAGGATTCAATTAAAAAATAAAATAAAACCAAGGCCTCCTTTTAAATATGAGACTTTTCCCCAACCGCTCCCCCCTCTCTCCCTTGCTCCACTCAGTGAAGGGCAGGGGTGGGATTCTACCAGTTTGCACCTGTTCGCAAGAACCGGTTGCTAACATTCTAGGCAGTTTGGAGAACTGGTTGTTAGAAGAAATTACTGGTCTAATCCTGTAAGGAAGGCAGGAAGGAAACATTCTGGGGTTGCTTACAGAAACTGCCTCTCTGTTAACCCTTATTACATTCTTGGCAGGACTAGTCTTCCTGTCTCAGGAACATCTCTGGAGTTTTTTTCCCCTCCTTTGCTTGTGTGGAGTGACCATTCAAAGTTACAATGGCACTGAAAAAAGTGACTTGTGACCATTTTTCACACTTACGACTATTGCAGCATCCCCACCGTCATGAGAGGCCAGGCAAGGAGATGCGTGCCTCGATGTGAGTGATATTGAGTTGGCCACACCCAGCCAATAACATGACTACCAAGCCACGCCCACCACCTAAGCCCCGCCCACAGAACCGGTTGTTAAAAAAATTGAATCCCACTCCTATTGAAGGGCAAAAGAATTTCATTTATTCAGGTCTACAAACAGTCCTGTGCTGCACAACATTGGCTCCTATTTAGCTGGTTGTCCACTAAGACTCCAAGATCCCTCTCACAGTTACTGCTATTGAGCCTGGTTCCACCCAGCCCTCTTCCTCCTCCTCTCTCCTTCTAGCACTGATAATGTTCCCTAGTTGGGCCATGAAACGTCTGCGAGGGAACCACCCAGCTCAGAAAGCACCCAAGGACCCCCCCAGAGCCAAATGTCTCTACAAGCCCAAAGTTACCTTTTCCTGCAAAAGCAGGATAATCTCCCCTTGCTCCAGGTCAACATTTTCCATGCTTGGTTTCAGCGGCACCTTACCTGCGTCGCTGTTTTCAGACATGCAAGAGTACACCGAGCACTGGAAATCTCCCATGGCTACCCCGACCTTGGTCCCAGCCGAGATCTGGTGCCACGCCCGGCAGGTTTCCCCAGCCAGATCTCCAGAATCAACCACTTCAGGGAGCAAGAGGATGGGAAAGCCAGAATCTTCCAAACTAAAGAGAGAGGCAGGAATCAACGGCGTGTGTTTGTGTGTGTGTGTGGGTGCGTGTCTGTGTCTGTCGAAGCTGAATAGCACGGGTGGTCCTCAACGTACGACCACAATCGAGCCCCGTATTTTCATCGCTAAGCGAGACAGTTAAGTATGTTTTGCCCCGTGATACGACTTTAATGGCCACAGTTAAGTGAATCACTGCTGTTTCTCGATTAGTGGCACTGGTGGTTAAGTGAATCTTGGCTGGCCAGAATGTCACAAAAGGGGATCAGGGAGGCTGCGACCGTCGCAAATACGTGCCAGTGGCCAAGCCTCTGAATTTTGATCATGGGAACCGTGGTGACGTTGCAATGGTCGTAAATGTGAAAAACGGTCGTACGTCATTATTTTCAGTGGCATGGTAACATCAAACGGTCACTAAATGAATGGTTGTAAGTCAAGGACTAGCTGTATTCCAGTTCTATATTTTCTTTGATTGCTGTATTAGTTCGATTACTATATTTATTCTATTCCTACAGCCAACCACCGCAATTAATGGCTCTGGACAGCTTACAATTCAAAACATACACACCATTTAAAACAATAAGAACATTTTTAAACTTAACTTAAATGTTAAAGGATGTGCTTTAAGATCGGTGGACTTCAGCTCCCAGAATTCCACAGGCTGTCATGCTGGCTGGGGGATTCTGGGAGTGGAAGTCCACCCCCTTAAAGCAGGCTGGCTGGGGGATTCTGGGAGTGGAAGTCCACCCCCTTAAAGCAGACTGGCTGGGGGATTCTGGGAGTGGAAGTCCTCCCCTCTTAAAGCAGGCTGGCTGAGGGATTCTGGGAGTGGAAGTCCTCCCCTTAAAGCAGGCTGGCTGGGGGATTCTGGGAGTGGAAGTCCTCCCCTCTTAAAACATGCTGGATGGGGGATTCTGGGAGTCGAAACCCACCCCTCTTAAAGCATTGCTGAGTGGGGAATTCTGGGATTCCACCCATATTCAAGTTTCCAAGTCTTAGATGCACTGGATGAAACCCCAGAGCACAGGTTGTAATGTGAACAGTGTATGGGGCGGCCAGGCTCAGGGGTGGGATTCTACTGGTTTGCACCTATTTGCTAGAACTGGTTTTTAACATTCTAAGCAGTTGTTAGACCGGTTGTTAGAAGAAATTACTGGACTAATCCTGTAAGGAAGGCAGGAAGGAAACATTCTGGTGTTGCTTACAGAAACTGCCTTTCCGTTAACCCTTATTACATTCTTGGCAGGACTAGACTTCCTGTCTCTGGAACTTCTCTCGAGTTTTTTTCCCCTCCTTTGCTGGTACTTTGCTTGTGTGGAGTGACCATTCAAAGGTACAATGGCACTGAAAAAAGTGACTTATGACCATTTTTCACACCTACGACTGTTGCAGCATCCCCACAGTCATGAGAGGCCAGGCGAGGAGATGCGTGTCTCAATGTGAGTCATATTGAGCTGGCCACGCCCAGCCAATAACATGACCACCAAGCCATGTCCACCGAGTCACATGACCACCAAGCCACGCCCACCACCTTAGCCACGCCCACAGAACCGATTGTTAAAAATTTTGAATCCCACCCCTGGCCAGGCTTCTTTTGAGGCCGTCTGCAGACTTACAGTTTCGTATTCCAGGATTTTTCCAGGGTATTGAAGTATCCCCAGGAGGCAGCGTTTTGCACCGACATCTGTGGCTTCTCTCGGCCGCAAAGCATAGCCACGACGTAGTCCTGGATTGTTCCAGCAGTGGTGTAGGGTGCCAGGAAATCTGGCCTAGGCAGCGAGGAAAGACGAGCAGTTCAGACAGACAAACAGAATGAATGAATGAATGAATGAATGGAATTAATGTACAAATGTACATCTATTGGAAAAATTGTGTGGCATAAGAATATTATGCATAAGAATATTATGAACACACACACATATACGCACTAGCTGGATACCTGGGCTCTGCTATAAAACTATGTGGTCCGGGCTTAGTTTTTGGGAAAGAAAATAAGGTGGGAAAAATCTGCTTCTGCTTACCAGCATCCATCTGTATTCATCTGGCTAGCATTCTGTCAGTGTGTGAGAGTTGAGGACTGTTTGGAAACTGAAACAGTATTTGTTGTGTGAGCACGAAGGAGACAGCAAGGAGCCTTGGCGTGGCTTAGCTCAACTGTTTTGTACTAAAACTGGTTGCTGCTGTGAAACTGAAACTGAAACTCCTCTCCTCTGCTGGTGTTTTTCATTTGGAAGAGATTTCGTTTCAGGTGGGGAGGGGGAGTAGAACTCCTTAGCATCAGAGCGTAATAATAATAATAATAATAATAATAATAATAATAATAATAATAATAATAATAAT